GACAATACTCCAGACTCAAGTCACCGGCAGATCAGTTAACTTATTCAATAGTTCCGTCAACTTCGTAACCTCACTGGGTCTCCATTCCAGGATAACTATTGGGTTTACAAATTCCATTTATTATCATTCCAATGCTGTTGTTAGAGAAATTTATATTGCTCTTAAAAGCAACTGATATGTGGCACAGGGTGAGAAGCGGTAAGACCCTCTCGGTGTTCACATCCCCGAATCTGTCGTCCATAAAACCAAGCATGTGGTTGACCTTCCTGAGGCTCGTTTATGAGACACAAAACTGGCCTTTTGTTTTCCTTATGATTGTTTGAGTTTCTTTCATTTGCAACACAGATACCAACACGGGCCACTGAAACACACTTCTGAAAAGACTGACTGGTGAAAGGACCAGGAAAAGTCATCACTTCTGAATGTCCCATAGCATGTGGAGAAATTCTTAACAGGTCATTTTGGTCAGACTTACTTTCCTCAAAGGTAACTAACTGATGGAAAGTGACTGAAAGTCTGTGAAGAGATTACAGTGAAAATCCTTAGGATACTGTTATTAATTTGCTACGGCTGCTGAAACAAAGTACCACGACTTGGGTGACCGAAACAAGAGAAGCCTGGTGTCTCACAGCTCCGGAGGACGCAAGTCCAAAGTGAATGTGTCGGGCTGGGGATTTAGCTCAGCGGCAAAGCGCCTGCCTGGCAAGCGCAAGGTCGTGAGTTCGGTTCCCAGTACCGGAGAAAAACAAAACAAAACAAACAAACAAAGTGAATGTGTCAGCAGAGCTGCTTCTTTCTGATGGCCGTGAAGGGCCTCAACCCACCCGCTTTCCTAGGCTTGTCGAGCGCTGTCTCCTGTGTCTTTATACCACCTTCCCTTAGTGCACCGTTGTGTCTAGATTTCTCCTTTCAGAGAGACACGGCATTGGACTAGGGACTGCCCACAGCACCTCATTTCAACTTGATCACCTCTATACAGACAGTCTCTAAGATTTGCATGGTAGCACAAGCCTGTAATCCCAGCACTCCAAACAACAAAGCAAACACATACACAAATAAAAACCAAAAATCTTTAAATAAGGTTATATTCTAAGGTACTGGGGTTTAGCCCTTCAACAAATTTTAGACATCTAACTGCTCACCAAAAGTTGGACTTGCCCAGATTTTTTTTTCAGTATTTCTCCTGTTGCTCCCTCTTAAAACCTAATGTCTAACTTAGCAATGTGTGCTTAGTATGTTTTTTACTGAAAATCATGGGTGTTGAAATGACTCAGCATACAAACTTACCTCTGACAAACACAAATCTTTGGCTTCTGTTACAGTCATGATTTTACATTTGTTTACATTTATCTCCCCAACTAGACTGTAAAATCGGTGAGGGAAAGGTCTGTGTTGCTATTTTTTTTTACCCATTGTCTCCTCAGAGCTTGAACAAAACGGGGACTCTATACTGAATGTATTTAGTTTTACTCAATGCTACAGGATCCAGGAAGAGGTGAGTGAGAGATCAATATCTCTTTTGTCCCCATCAAGTTTCTCCTTATCAGAATAATGGGTGTAACTAGCATGTTCTGTGGGTTTGGGGAGATTGGTAACCACCAAAATCCAACCGGGCAGGCCTTGGATGTGGAACACGGTCTCAAGTATTCTGGTGGGAGGGCAGCAGCGATAAACCTAAACAGCTCATCTCTCCGGAGGAGTACACGTAACAGCAGGAATACTGCACCTGAGTCATCGGTACGTATGTTCGTTTTGTTCAACTGCACATTTACTTTTATGCACTTCATGATATGAAATTCACAAGAGGAAAGTATAACATTGGCTAGAAAATAAAGAATCCAGGATACTCTCCCCTCAGGTCAAGATCCCTTTTCATCATGTAAGGTAACAGAGTCACAATTCCTGGGAAATTAGTATTTCATGTAAATTTAAGTGGAATCCTAAATGAAAATGGATCTTGCACGCTGGCACACGGCCCTGCTTTCTGAATCAACTGCAGTTCTGGGCAAATTTCTAGGCAGTAAGCACACCATTGTTAGAATTTTCTCATGTGGCTTCCCAGAAGCTCTGGTCTGATGAACCTACTCTAAATCATGCTGGGTTTTAAAAGTTCAGTTAGAGAGCCTGTTTAATACAGATTAGTGGTTATGCTGAATTTCGTGGGCACCAAAAATGTCTGACTCTTCCCGTGTTCATACCTTTACCTACGGTCCAGTCAGTGTTTTAATACAATGAAAAAATGTTTTTCCTGTTAAAAACTATATCCCAACCTTACAAACATAGCAAAAAGATAACTATATGCTTTCAGTCCTAATAGAGCGCTACCAAGTTCACTTAGGGACCACCTGTCTGTCTAGGGGGTAATACGTAATTCTGCTTGACTATTAGGGCTCAGATTCTGTAGAGTGAAATGTTAATGTAGAGACTTGGTAAGTTTATAAACTTTTCAGGTTTATACTCTTTTCAATCAACTTTTCAATCTA